CATGGAGTTGATTGCCAGTCTCATCATGGGGAATAACTACCACCGGCTGCCCAGCCACTCAACCAGGCCCAGCCAAGTTGACACACAAACATAACCACCACACTGAAGAAGGACATCATGCTTGGTAAAGTAGAGGGTCAGCGAAAAAGAAGATGACACTCAATGAGATCGATTGACATGGTGGCTATAAACATAGCTCCAACACAGCAACGATTGTGAGGATGGTGCAGGGCCGGGCAGTGTTTCATTCTGTTGTCCGTAGGGTCGCTATGAGTTGGAACTGACTCAATGGCACCTAAAAACAACAGCAGCACCTGTTGTTAAGAGAATGAAAAGAGCTAAGAGTTAGAAGGACATGGCATTCAAAACGTTGGGTGTCCTTTTGCTTCCCTAACCTGTACCCCTGCATTCGGCATATACCGTGCCACTTTATCCTGGCCTTGGCCACTTACTCTTTTCTCTGCCATGCAGATACTTCGGCCAGATGAGCACATTGCTAAACAGCGTTATATTGGTGGCAAGAATCTGCCCACACGGGGCACTGCCGAGTGGCTGTCTTTTGACGTCACTGACACTGTGCGTGAGTGGCTCCTGCGAAGAGGTAGGTTCATCCTTAGAATGTGCACTTTGGAAGGTTCCTTGGTCCTTCATGAAACAGAGGGAAGAGGAGAGGACTAGGGGAGTTATAAGATCTGTGTTCAAAGCCTGCTTTTGCTCCTGACTTTCTGTAATTTTCATTCATTTGCTCAAGTCACATGTAATAAGTGCCTAATCTATACTATTTACAGTAGCAAAAAGATGGAAACAACCTAGGTGCCCTTCAACAGAAGAATGGATAAGCAAACTATGGTACATATACACAGTGGAATACTGTGCAACACTAAAGTATAATGTAGTCTATAAAACATCGCATAACATGGATGAACTTGGATGACATGATGCTGAGTGAAATAAGTCAGTCACAGAAGGACAAATATTATATTAGTTCATTATTGTACAAAGTCATGGAAAGGTTATATATGGAACAAAACTTTGTTAGTTACCAGGGGTGGGAGGGGAGGGGAGGGAACACACTGCTGGATAGGTAGAGACAAGTATTGATTTGGGTGAAGGGAAGGGCAATGTACCAAATGAGAGTGACCAACATGGTGGCATTGAGGAAGAGGAAGACACAGAGAGGTACATGGGAGTTCAATTTTTTTAAATAATAAAAAAAGAATAAGTGCTCAATCTAAGCCAGGCCCTGGGGATTCAACAGTGAACCAGACAGGTGAGGTCCCAGATCTCATGAGGCTTTTGTTTTGGTAGGAGAGAGACACAATAAACCACTAAACAAACTGATACATAAGAATTTCAGATAGTGGTAAGTACTATGAAAGACAGAAAGAGGGCAATGTGATGAGGACTAAGTAGCTCCACATTAGGTGGTTTGCCCAAGGAAGGCCTCTCTTGAGGAAGAATCTGAGTGTTGAGATTGGACTATGAGAAGGAGCCAGCCCGTGAAGCTCTAAGCAGGGATGTTCTGAGCAAAGGAAGCAGTGAGGCTCAGGACCTCAGGTGGGAACAAGCTTGATTGGTTCCAGTAGCAGTGAACACACAGACTGATGTGGATGGAGCATAGTGAGGTGTGGGGTGAACTGTATGAACTGAAGTCATCTAGGCCATATGATTTAGGACCTATACTAAAAAAACCAAAAAAACAAAACCTCACTGCCATCGAGTTGATTCCAACTCATGGCATCCCCTTTGGATTTTTGAGGCTGTCAAATCTTTACGAAAGTTGATTGCCCAGTCTTCCTTCCATGGAGTGGCTGGTGGGTTTGAACTGCCAGCCTGCTGGTGAACAGTCAGATGCCTTAGGCACTATGCCATCAGAGCTCTTAGGACCTATAAGGCCATGTAAGAAGGGTAGTGGTGATTCAGTGGTATGATTCTTGCTTTTCCTGTGGGAGACCTGAGTTTGATTCCTGGGCACTGCATCTCATGTGCAGCTACCACTTGTCTATCGAGAGGCTTGTGTGTTGCTGCTGTGATGCTGAACAGTTTCAGTGGAGCTTCCAGACTGAGCTAGACTAGGAGGAAAGGCCTGGTGATCTCCTTCTGAAAATCGGCCAGTGGAAACTCAGTGGATCACAGTGATTCAGTAGGTGACTGATCAGGAATGGCACAGGACCAAGGCCATAGTTGGGATTCAGGACTTAGTCCAAGTGTGAGGAAAGGCCCCACGAGGGTTAAGAGTGAGGCTAATGGTGAGGAGTGTGGAGATTTGGTGTCCATCTTTAAAAGACTCCTCTGGCTGCCATGAGGTCAAGGAAGAAGCAGGAAAACCAGCTGGGGGCCATTACAGATGTCTGGGAGAGAGTAATGGGAGCTAGACGAGGGCAGTAGCAGGGGAGATGGCAATTATAGATGAATGAGCTATTACTTTGGAGTAGAGCCAACAGGACCAGCTGATTAGATAATGGCCTGTTAGGAAACAAGACAAATCTAGGATAACTTCTAAGTTTTTGGATTGAGTATCTGGGTGCTGTTACTTATTGAAACAGGGGAGACTGGGAGAAGAACAACCGGTTTTGGGGCAGGTTGGCCTATAAATTATAAAAGGCCTTTTCGTCATCCAAGCCCTAGTGGTACAGTGGTTAAAGTGCTTGGCTGCTAACTGAAGGTTGGTGGTTGGAACCTACCAGCTGCTCCATGGGAGAAAGATGTGACAGTCTTTTGCTATAAAGATTACTGCCTTGGAAACCCTACAAGGCAGTTCTACTTTGTCTTATAGGATTGCTAAAATCAGAATTGACTGGACAGCAATGGGATTAGTCATTCAAGTAGAGCTGTCCAATAGGCATATCACACTTTATACATCCAAAATATCTCCACCACTCACGTTCTCTCACCTGGAAAATAAGGTAGTGGTTCCTCTCCTGTGTGGCTCCCAAAGCTACTAAGCACAAAGGAAAAAGGCCTAAGAGAATCCACAGGGATCTGCTTATAGCAGCTATTGGGAATTCTGACTCAGACGGCACTCTGCCGAGAGTCCCGACCTGGCTGCAGAAAGGAGAGGCTGGGGAAATGAATCGCTTGGCTTCCCTGTCTGATTCTGATCATCTCCACCTGGATTTCTTTGAAGCCCTGGGCACTTGAAGGAGTTCTTATTTTCACAGCTGCAGGACTCAATGAGAACTTAGCATTGAGAATGATTTCCATCCTCCCTGAGACATCAAAAAGATAATTTCATAATAAAACCTATGGGTCCCCCACCCACCATCCCTACTGCTGCCAATTCTGAAGTTAGAGCTTCACTGGAACCTTCAGTTCCCACTCAGACAGATGCTGCCCACCCCTCCCACAAGGGAATCCTAGAACAAACCTTTATATACACAGAGCTCACAAATTCTTCAGAGTTCGTTCCCCAAACAAGGCAAGAAATGGGCTTCAAATGGAGCAGTTGGTGTGAGCTGATGACGAAACTGAGTCACACATATGGTCTTGGATTCATTCAGCAAACATCTGAGGGCCTACTGTGCACCAGCCAGCCAGGTTGCTGTCTGGGTCCCAGAGCCACTTGGAGCCCTCTTCAGGGTTAGGAATGCAGGTCCACAGACCCTTGGGCTATTGCTCTGACAGTCTGCTGCTTCTTGTATGCAGAACCAGGCCTCCCCTTGCACGATGGGCAGGGAGCACACTCAGTGTGGCTCAACATAGTTGGACACAACCATTTTGTATCTCAGTGAATGTGTGAATGTGTGGGCACCTTCCTTGATGGTTTTTATTGCCCACTCATTGTCTCTCCTTGTTTCTAACAAGAGTGTGGGCTCTGCCAAGAAGCTGCCTGTATTTGAATCTTGTCTGTACTACTTACTGATTGGGCACCTTGGGTAAACCATTTAATTTCTCTAAGGCCTCAGTGGTCTCATCTGTAAAATGGGGGATAATAGTTCCTACCACATAGGATTATGATAGTGATTGAATGAGTTAATGCATATATAGTGCTGAGAGCACTGTTTGATAGTCATGTGCAAGAAATGTTGGTAATTGCTGTCATTATTCTCTGAGCCCTCTACCTATGTGGAGACTGTTGGCTAAACCAGGTCATCATCTCATACTTACCAACAGTAACCCCAACCCTAACTCTCCTAAGTCATATGTCTATACCTTGGCTCTAATTCACAGAATCACAGAATTTGCCCACCCCAGGTCTCTTCCAGCCTTGAACTTTTCTGGGTAACAGGAAGTACATTATGTTGCTGCGTCCATTACAGCTACTCTAGCTCCTTCTTCCAGGTGCCTTGAACAAGGAAGAGGACACATCCTCATGCCTCTCTCTCTGTTCACATCCTTCTTTCTAGCTGAGACTCACTTGCCTTGTTATATTGGTCTCCTTCACCAGAGCCAACCTTCTGGAGCAGAAATCTTCAAGTTTAGAAGGTATCAGTTTGTCCCAGAGGTTGCCCTGACTTGGCACGGAAAAATCTGGTTGGGCTCTGGAGTTTATGGAAGGAAGATTGAGCTGATTTTTAGCCAGTAGGACTGGGTCATCTTGTTGTTGTTGTTATGTGCTGTTGAGTCGGCCCCGTGGGTCATCTAGGCCCTCCTAATAGTAACTGGAATCTCTGGATTTGGGCCATTCTTCCCATGAGAAGGATGCTGACTCAGCCTGGATGCTGGAGTTTTCCCTGATGTCACCGTATTTCAGAATGGCCCTTGGTTGGCCCCAAGGGCAGATGTTCATTCAGAACTAGGGTGGCCTCAGGGAGCAGTAAATTAATCAGCTCACCTAGACATTGGCCCTGAACCCAAAGGGCTCCATCCCCATGACCTCTCCTATATCTGACCACAGCTGGCTGCTGCCCCCAAATCATGAGAGCTCCTCTACTTGAGTCTCACTCACCAAACTCACCTGATTTTCCTCACACCAAACTCTGTGATTCTGTTCAAACTTTTCAGTTACTTCTTCTTCTCCACCGCCCCCCCCCCATTTCACTCAAGCCCTTTTACCAATATCCCTGCTTTCCTGATGGTGGTTGCCAAAACACCTGATCCCATGATTAATAGGAGAAGGGGACAGACTAGCTTTCTTGCACCAGAATGTCAGTCACTATATACTGGCTTCTCCAGGCTTCCTCATGCTGTTCTCTCTGAGCTTATGTCATCTGGATCCTTGGCATGGCCCCGTGTCACCTCATCTGGCCTGCTCTCGAATTTCACACTGTCTTCCAGAGCTGCTTGTCTTCCCTCAGTTGTCATCCACATTTCCAACCTCCCATTATGGAGAACAAGGATTCCCAAAGAAGAAGTCTCCAAGTAATTTTTACTTCATTATGTCTTTATTCTTTAAGGAAAATATGGCCAGTGTCACCAGGGTTTTCATCTTCTCTCTTCCATCTTCTCTATGTCCACAATCATAGGCAAAGTAGAAATACTAGCATCTTCCAACTAGATGGATTCAGCTTCTTTGCAGGTGACTTTGCCTCTAGCCATGAATCCTTACTTTTCATCTTGTTGCGCAGACTATGCCACCTTCCATCTTGTGGCCCCTTGAATCAAGGCAAGACCACTACCTCTCTGCTCCAAAGATCTTCAGTTACCCCTTCTCCCTGGTCTTCCCCAGTTCCTCTGTCTCTTCTATTCATCCTTCCTCAGTAAGATGGCTTGAATTATCTCCTCTCCCAACCAACACTGACATTGTGTGACTGCCCTTTCTTTCTTTCCTGTATCCTTACCCTTCCCCCCAAGTAGGTAGGTGACAGTTGTCTCCTAATTCTGTCCTTTGAAAATACATGACTATTATAATTCTCCGTCATGATGTTCACTATCTACATCCCCATTTGATTGTTCATAATGTAAAAGAAATACATGGAATGTGGCAACATGTGTGTGAAGGCCCACTCCGAGCTGTGGAAGCACTTTTGGTCTTCTATGACCCAGTAACAGAGTTCCTATGGAAGGAGAGGGCCTGGGCCACACTTACATGGGTGGTAGCCACATTTCCTCATCATGCAAAGTGATTTTCTCACCGGCTCTGTCTTATTTTGTAGAGTCCAACTTAGGTCTGGAAATCAGCATTCATTGTCCATGTCACACCTTTCAGCCTAATGGGGATATCCTGGAAAACATTCACGAGGTGATGGAAATCAAATTCAAAGGTAACAAAATGGGTGGGTGGGGTAGGGTGGGTGGGGAGCTAGTGAGGAGAACAGGAGATCCCTACTAGACAGACACTATAAAAAAGAACCAAGCCCCCTCCTAGAGATGACCAACTAATTTGTAGTTGAGTAATTCTGCTTTGCCCCAAAAGCAATGAACACGAAGTGAAGTTCAGCTTATAGATAAAGGCAGTACATTAGCATCTGGAAGACAGTGTGCTGTTGGGAAGAATGAAATCAGGTCGGCCTGGGCTTGAATCCAGTCCTGCTCTATAGTTCTAACCTGAGGATGAAAAATATCTCTTTCACAGGGCTGATATGCAAATTAAATGAGATAAAAATGTAAAACACAGTGCCAAGAAAGGCCTTCCCTTCTCTAAAATAATAGTGAACTTAGGTGGCCATGACTCCTGAGTTCTAGATGCTGCAGGGTCCACTTGATCCTTGCCCAGGAGTCATCTGGGTTTAGAAGAATGCATTGTACCTACGGGTGTTTTTCCACAGTGTTTGTGTTGAGATGGCTAAGAGTCATCTCTGTTTTGTATGTTTCTAAGGAACTCAGCCTGGACAGTCTCTGAACTTCAGGGAAGTTCCTTTTTTCCATTCATATTTCCATTTTGATTAACTGAGGCACACCTGAAGGTGGTATAGGCTTATCTGGACAAAGGTGCAGGTCTCACTTGGCTGTCTGCCCTGGGCAGTTCTCTTAACCTTCATGGGCTCTATTTCAGAGTCTATTTTTATCAAAGCCAAGAATTTGACATCCTAACCACAGGAAGATGGAGCAATCTACTTCCCTAGTGATACTGCCTTGGAAACCCAAGGAGGGGTTGCTATGAGTTAGGTCCGACTCGACGGCACATAACAACAACCACCACCACAGACCCTTGGAGCTCAGAAGATCTTTGGAATTCTTACCTATAGGCCATTTAGGACGAAACTCTCCCACTTCAGTGAATACTTATCTTGCTCATAAAGATTTTTGGAAAACTGAATTTGAGATCCAGGTCTCCCATTGATTTTATAGACCTGATGGCCCTTCCTGAGGTCAAGTCCCTTCTCTGACTATGTAAGTTAGAATCCTTACGCTCCTATCCTCTGTGGTGATGAACAACAGGGGCGGCTCCTTCACAAAAAGATCCCTGGTAGTGCAGTGGTTAAGTGTTTGGCTGCTAATTGAAAGGTTGGCAGTTTGAACCCATCAGCTGCTCTGTGGGAGAAAGATGGAGCCATCTGTGTCTATAAAAGATTACACACTGTCGTCAAGCTGGGTTCAACTCATAGCGACTCCTCCTTGGGTTTCTGAGGCAGTACCACTACGGTAGATTGCCCAACCTTCCTTCCAAGGAGTAGCTGGTGGGTTTGAACCGCCAGCCTTCTGGTTAGCAGTCAAGTGCCTTAGGCACTACACCACAAGAACTATAAAGATTACAGCCTTGGAAATCCTACGAGGCAGTCTTACTCTGTCCTGTGGGGTCACTATGAGCCAGGATTTGACTTGACAGCAGTAGGTTTGGTTTCTAGTTTTGGTCTTTCATAAAATATGTCCCCATTTAGTTGAGACTCTAAGTCAGTCTTCAGTTACTCTTTTCCTTTCCAGATGGAATAGCAGGTTTTCTTTATAGAGCTTGTTGGCTGTTTATCATATGGTTCATTATCTCATCTGAGTTTTATGGTGATAGCATTTTAAGAACTGTAAGTGCAATGAGACTATTAACCATTTACTCAGTTTTGTTTGCCTGGCTTCCACTCAAGCTAAATTAAATGGCTAATGGCTTAAATTGTAGATTGGATTTCTGTGCTGTCTTGACGAATCTTGATTGTAAGAGGAAACTCACACTCAGGATTCTAAATCTCAAACCTAAACTGACAACCCAACAGTATGTGTTAGGTACCCACCTGTGCTTCACAGATCCATGAAGATTCCCAGGAAGCATCTCAGGAAGGGCTTTCTGGCCTTCACATGATTGAGGCACAGGGACCTTGAGGGGGTCAGAACATGAGCATCTGAAGTGGTATCTTTATAATGATAATGAAGTTCTTTTGGTTTGGGTTCCTCCACCTGATCTTCTACATCCTGCAGTTAGACATTAGAATGGAGGTGCATTTGCCCCCCACTCCTTTCCTTGGCAGTGATGGGGATGGGAAAGAAAGCAGTCTCCATGGATTCCTCGTCCACCCTGCTTTCCTTAGGAGATTTTCTCCTTTCTTTCCTTCTGCAGGTGTGGACAATGATGATGACCATGGCCGTGGAGATCTGGGGCGCCTCAAGAAGCAGAAGGACCACCACAACCCTCATCTAATCCTCATGATGATCCCCCCGCACCGGCTCGATAACCCAGGCCAGGGAGGCCAGAGGAAGAAGCGGGCCCTGGACACCAATTACTGTTTCCGGTGAGCCTGGGCCCACACGGGACCTGTGAACTCCAGAAACAACATCTACTGGGGCATGCTGTGGGTCAGGCCCCAGCCCTAAGCTGTGCTAAACTGAGCGTCCTTGATGTTATTCACAAATATCTTCAGGAAAGAGGATTTAAAATCTCTTACAAATCTCTTTCTGTTTTCTGAGAGCCCAGCTGTTTTGAGCAGCCCAGCTGTTTTTCTGCAGCCCAGCTCTGTAAGGACCTGGATGAAATAAATGAGAAAAACTCTATAAGGAGGAGAGTGTTGCTAAAATAGTTTGGATTGGAGTGGCTTGGCTGCAGCCTCTCTGTGGTTTTCATGTTTTAAAAAGTACTTGTAGGGTGGTGTTTGTGTGTATGTGTGTGGGGAGATTAATGCAGGAATCACCATTAAAGAAGTGCTCAGTTCCCTATGAAGGGCCTAAGGATGCTACTGGATAAGGAAAAACAGGGCGGTCTCCATTTTCAGGGAGAATATTGAGCTAGAGGAATTAACAAACTAATTCAGAAAAAATGGAAAAGTGTCTGGACGAAGATAAAGAACATAGCTTCTTCCCTTATTTAGGGACTGGTTTAACCGTCATTCACAGAGAAGAAGGGGTGATAGAGCATGCATTCAAATTACTAAAAGTAGAACATGACCACATCTGTGAGAAGGTTAAGGATTAGGCACTTTCAGAATGTGGAGCAGAAAGTTCATCATTGGACACAGGGAAGGCTTCAGAAGACTTTGAGATTTGAGCTGAGCCTTCAGGCATGAGTGGGACTTGGGTCAGTTGTCTGAAGGCTGTCATGTAGATTGGTTCTATGTGGCTCTTAATCAGGCATGCTCTAGGCTGCAAATAATAGTGTCTTAAACCCTAAGGGGACTTCTTATTTACAAGAAGCCTGTAGGAGTAGACTCAGGGTTGGTCTGGCTGCTTAATTATGCCAATGAGAACACAGGCTTTTTATTTTTCCAATCTACTATGGTGAGTACAAGGAGCTCTGGTGACATAGTGCCTAAGGCATTTGACTGCTAAACAGAAGGTTGGTGGTTCAGACCCACCAACCACTCCGTAGAGGGAAGACTGGGCAATCTACTTCCATAAAGATTTACTGCCTCAGAAACCCAAAGGGGGTTGCTGTGAGTTAGAATTGACTTGATGGCAGTGAGTTTGGTTTTGGTTTTTATGCTGAGTATGTTGGCTCTTCAGCCTCTTAGTTATGGCCACAAGTGACTGGTAGAGCTACAGGTATCTTGTCAATATTCAAGACACAAAGAAGGGGGTAAGTGAAGAGCCAGCAGCTTTCTTCTTCCATCGGTCACTTTTTTAAAGAAACAATTATCTTTGTCAGAATTTACCCTCAGCCCTTGCATATATCCTTTATGTCTGATTGGTCATTTTTGGCTTACATGACCACTCCTTCCTGCAAGAGAGGCCAGGAAAATGAATATCTGGCTTTCCAGTTGTGGTAGTGGGGAGGTGGCAAGAGAGAAACTAAAAAAAAACCTCACTGCCTTCAAGTCAAATCCGACTCATAGTAAGCCCTCCTTGGGTTTCCAAGGCGGTATCTCTTGGGAAGTAGATTGTCCAGTCTTCCTTCTGACGAGTGGCTGGTGGGTTTGAACTGCCAGCCTTCTGGTTAGCAGTCAAATGCCTTAGGCACTATGCCACCAGAGCTCCTGGCAAGAGAGAAGGGGATTAGAAATGGAAAGATAACCAACAGAGTTTGGCATAGATTCATCCTGGGAACCCACAAGAAACCAGATTTTGGCCGATAGCTGCCTTTGGAAGTAACATGTTCTAGGTCTCAGCAGATACTGAAGCAGAGACTATATGCACACGTGGCAAGGGGTTCTGTCAGAAGGATTTCTGTAGGTGACAGAATTGAAGGGAGCTGATAGTTACATTTGGGTTGATCTGGGAATCATGATTATAATACAAGGATAAGCTTTGCTTTGATTTAGTCTAAGTAGTCATCTACTATGGTTTATAAGCTGCTTAAGTTTAGAGTTCATTTCTGGTTGGATGCCATTAGGAAGGTAACAATAAACCAACCTCACCAAAGCTGAGTTGGCTAGTAACATTTAGTGCTTGATTTCCTGTGGATCACTTTACGTCTTTGATTCAACTTTTTACAGGCGCTTTTTACAGAAGTAAAAGGAGCTCTGGTGGTGGAGTGAGTAAGGCATTTGGCTGCTAAGCAGGTCGGCAGTTCAGACCTACCACCTGCTCCATAGGAAGAAGATGAGGCAATCTACTTCTGTAAAGATTTACAGCCTTGGAAACCTAATGGGGATCGCTATGAGTCGGAATCAACTTGATGGTAGTGGGTTTGGTTTTACTTTTCACAAAAACAAGTGGCCACCTTTGCCTCTTTTCTCTTCCTCACACAGCATCTGTGGCTACGTATTATGTCCTTGGGATCCTAGTCTTCAACACAGGAAGCCACCTTTCTGGTTTCTTCAGCCCTATGCACTTGAAACTGGAATTCCATTGGTTAGAGCTACCTCTTCTGAGGGCTGGGAAGGACTCCAGGTGCAAATATGAGGGCCATTTGTGAAGTTCTGCATATTGGTGGTTTCATTTTAGATTTATTTTCTATGAATGTGTTTTGTTGTAGCAACTTGGAAGAGAACTGCTGTGTGCGCCCTCTCTACATTGACTTCCGACAAGATCTGGGCTGGAAATGGGTCCATGAACCTAAGGGCTACTATGCCAACTTCTGCTCAGGCCCTTGCCCATACCTCCGCAGCACAGACACAACCCACAGCACGGTATGGAATAGGCCTTGTGCTGTGTGGGGCACGGGGGCTAAGCGGACCATGACACTGATTACAGGAATGAATGGAGGGCTGAATGCTGAACGAATGATGATGATCTGGAGTGAGTACAACCCCTCGGGTCTTGGCACCTTGCTCCAAGTCTACTTGGTCACCTTCTTCCCTTTAAAATTCCTTCCATAGTTTCAACCAGATGTTTTATTTGCTTCATCGAAAACTCTTATATCATGGAAATTAATTAGGTATCACATGCCACCCCAGATGTAGCTGTATGTCAGAGATATGTGTACATGGTTGATGAGGAATGTTGAGGCAGAAAGGCTTCTACTGTTAATTTAGGAAATTGGATAATTATAGCTTTTTGAATTCAGAAGTTATTCTGAAAGACAATACAAAGCACGCAGAAGCAGCTAATCTGAAACACTAAAAAAAGAGACTGACAAGAGTACCAGGCACTCTGAAACACTCTGACGTTTGCCTTTCCCTCAAGGGGAATAAAAAACATGTGAAGTATGTTTCCTTATAGCTCATTAATAGTACACTCTGTCTGGGGCCCCATACTCTGGCACTTACTAAATGACCCAACACAATGTTTAGTGGGAACATTTCTTACCCAAGTGATCAGTTACAGCAAGGAAGACCAACTTCAAAGCTAAGAGAATTTCTGGTTGTGCTAATGGTTATACTTAGCTACTAACTGAAAGACTGGCACCTCTGCTCAAAGTCACTGAAAACCTTACAGAGCACAGTTCTACTGTGTCACACATGGAGTTGTCATGAGTTGGAAGTGACTGATGACAACTATTTTGTTATCAATTTAAGGTCCCCCAAAAACTGTTACAGGGAGCTCTGGTGGTACAGTGCCTGAGGCATTTGATTGCTAACCAGAAGGTTGGCAGTTCAAACCCACCAGCTGCTCTGTGGAAGGAAGATGGGGCAATCTACTTCTATAAAGATTTATCACCTTCGAAACCCAGTGGGGGTCACTATGAGTCGGAATTGACTCGATGGCAGTGGGTTTGGTTTTTCTTGGGGTAATAACTTACATTCTTGGAGCTCTAGTGGCACAGTGCCTACGGCATCTGATTGCTAACCAGAAGACTGGTGGTTCTCAGGTACCGTGTGGAAGCAGGACTGGGCAGTCTACTTCTGTAAAGATTTACTGCCTCGGAAACCCAATGGGGCTCGCTGTGAATGGGAATCAACTCAATGGCAGTGGGCTTGGTTTTTTTTGGCAATAACTGTTACATTCTTAAACTGCTAGCCCTTAACTAAGTGTGCAGGTTGTACATGTTGCCTTTATGAATGAACAGCAACTAGTCACTCACCCATCCCAACTGAATCCCAACAGTTATTCTTAAATAGCACCAATAGAACTTGGACAGTTCCTGGACTCCAGGTGGGACGTGGCTTTCCAACTTCTAAATGACATCTCCCTTCCTAGGTGCTGGGGTTGTACAACACCCTGAATCCTGAAGCATCTGCCTCACCTTGCTGTGTGCCCCAGGACCTGGAGCCCCTGACCATCTTATACTATGTTGGGAGGACCCCCAAGGTGGAGCAACTCTCCAACATGGTGGTGAAGTCCTGTAAGTGTAGCTGAGACGTCACCTGGGACAGAGAGAGAGGGAGAGAGAGAACTGCCACTGCCTGACTGCCCGCTCCTCGGGAAACACAAAAGCAACAGATCTCACCTGGAGACCTGGAGCCCCCAACCTTCAGCTCCAGGCAAATGGCTGAGATGGAGGTTCCCTTTTGGGACATTTCTCTTTCTTGCTGGCTCTGAGAATCACTGTGGTAAAGAAAGTGTGGGTTTGGTTAGCGGAAGGCCGAACTCTTCAGAACTCACAGATTTTCTGTGATGCAGACAGAGGTGGTGGGGACAGAGGAAGAGGGATGGAAAGTGAACGTGTCGTGTGGGATTGGGATTTGGGCTATCCTAGGGACTAGGAAGGGCAGAGAATGGCTGGGACAGGGCCAGACTGGAAGACACTTCTGATCCGAGGTCAGAGTTGCTCATCACTGCACCACATCTGCTCTAGGGAATCTGGATTATGTTATATAAAGCATTCTTCTTCAGACAGGTTACCAAGACCAAGTCCCAGAATTGTATCTTGTACTACCTGGGATTAAGGACAAACCTGTTCTTTTTGCAAATTACCCTCTCTACATCAATCAGCATCAAGGGTCATTACAGGGAGCAAATCCAGGTAATGGAGTTCTCGGGCCTTCAACTCCACTGGGCCCTATGGATAATGCTGAACTCAGAAGCAGAGGGTGGGAATTCATCCCCTCCTGTCTGCCCTCTGGGTCCCTCCTCTCGCCTTCTTCCTCAATTGTATTTCCCCTTGGACATTTGGCTAGACACTTTCCAGGTCAAGTTGCACATATTGAGATTGTGGGTCTGTGCAACCTTGGGGCATTATGGGTTCCCCCTCCCACCCCCAAGACCCTGTGTTCATTTGGTCTCCCTGGAAACAGGTGCTACATGTGAGGCATTTGGGGAAGTTGCATGTGTGGCACACACTGACTTGGCCCCAGACGCATAGACTGAAGTATGAAGACAAATATAAATATTACTCTCAAAATCTTTGTATAAATAACTATTTTGGGGGGATCTTGGATCATTTCATCTTCTGGAAGATTGTTTCTAGAGCAGTAAAAGCCTTATTCAGAGGTAAAGCCTGACTCAGTAAATATCTTTAATTACCTTTTTGTTATCGTGGCTCCATGTCTACTAACTGGAATTTGGGTGGAGAATTTCTCAAACATTCATTATACTGGTTTGTGTGCATATCCAGGGCATTGGGCACGCTGGGATGCCTTCTGTCATCTGGGAAGCCTGCCCTGTTGCTCATGCTCCCTTCCTTCCTGCAGGGTGTATTATACTCATATACAGAGGCAGTTACTCAGATTTGCAGGAAATATACCAATCCGACCACCGGATAACTGTGGGTATCATTCTTTGGTGGGAACTCTTGCAAATGGACATGTGTTGGTTTGTACATTCACTATACTTTAGCAACACCACCAGTTTTAAAAATCCCATCCAGTCCCCCAAGTCAGCTGAGAACAAGAGAAAATGTCTGTGGCAAATGGACTAAGAATATGAAGTTAATTCTGTTATCAGGTGAAACCTAGAAGAGCTAACCTGGAACCCCTTTTTCAGACCCTGGGCCTCTTGTCAGGAGGCCTTTTGGGAGCAAAAGAGGGCAAGAAAAGCATAATCTCCCAGTTCCCTTTTGAGGTCATCCATCCAGAGCAATGTAGAATTGTATGTGGAATTCACATCTGCCTGAAGCAACTCTCTGCAGTGAGTGAGCATGGAGTGGTGTGTCATCTAACAACTGAAAACCTGCCTGTATTGAGATCACTTTACCTTTTGGGGAAAAAAGCCCATCCAACCTACAATCTGTAGGTTGAAGGATACATACAGAATGTGCATGTCTGTGTATGTGTGTGTGCAGGGATGGGGGTATCTCGTTCACCAAGACTTTTTTCCTACTGTGTCCATACCCAGGCAATTCTAAGGGCTTCACCCTCAGCCTTTATCCCATGTGAACCCCTTTACTTCCACTGTACCTCAGGGGATCATGTCCTTGCCCTAAAATTATGGCTGGCAAGCTTGTGCTCTACCACCCAAGGCAGCCACTGGGTAAAAGAGGAGATGGCAGGGTACCCAGCATCATAGCCATGGGCTGTCACTATCCCAAGTTTCAGAGTTTATCCACTGTGGCAGCCATTCTCAAATTTCAGTGTGCACAGAACCATCCAAATGTTTATTATAAATGTAGAATTTCATGCTACAGTTTGAGATGTCTTTAGGGCTAGGGTAGGGTCCAGGTTGCCTAAAAGCTACATTTTGAGAACTCATTGCATTATACCTCACGTAACTGGTCCATACTTAAGCCTTAAATCATGAAGAAATAGTCCTCCTGTCCCTGGAATAATCTCCCAAATTACCCTACCGTGAAGGGCATCACTAAGATGTTGGCCTGTGGTTCATCCTAATGAACCAAGGCAACTAGATGTGCTTCTTGAGGTTTCCCAAAGAAAACAACATGCGCTCTGATTCCAAATACTCTTTTTATGGACGAGCTCTACGCTTATCTTAATCAGCATATGGGCAGGGGTCTGGAGTCCGGCCTGCCCATTCCACATATCACTTAAGAGGCACTACAGAAACTTGAACCATACTTGAATGCATACTTGTTTGTGGCCCTGGTGACACAGTGGTTAAGGGGTCAGCTGCTAACTGAAAGGTCGGAGGTTGGAACCCACCAGTGGCTCTGTGCGAGAAAGATCTGGCCATGTGCTCCTGTAAAGAGCAGGATACCCTATGCGGCCGTTCCACTTTGCCACCTTGAGTTGGAATTGACTTGATGACAGTGGGTGGTGGTGGTGGTGAAAAGGGACATTTGGAAATGACAGTGGGTAGGGGGTGGGTGAAAAGGGACATTTGGAAATGACACTTCTGTTAGAGGAAAAGATTGTATGACCATTCTGTTTTATGACTAAGAGATGTGTACTGCCAGTAAATAAGCCTTAAAAGTACTTGGGTAAGTGAAGGGAAAGATCTGGAGCCTGGTCTTAGCATCTGAACAGCACACACTGAGTCAGTGAGAAATTTTCTTGAGGACTCAGTTCTGATTGGTTTCTAGGTAATTCCAGATCCTCTAGGTGATCTAAATGTTCTTTTACACGGCTCATACCTTCTACCCCTTTTTACAAGGCCCATATACTGAGTCTCCCTAAATCCCTTTCTCAGTCTTACTCATCAGCAGGAGAATATGAAGGAATCTACTTTGTCTCCTAACTAATTCACAACCAAACAAGCAGACAGCTAAGATGCTCCTCAAACTACTGTCCAGAAGTCCCAAGAGCATCTGGAATACATTCTTTCCTCTCTCCTGCAACCAAAAGACCTCATCCGTCAACAAGCAAACAAATGCTTCAATGTGCCCAGACCTTTGCTTTCATTCACTAAGAAGGTAATGAAGTCCCTTGTCTCTCTGAGGTTTTGGGTGTCATTTTTCTTTTGAGATTTAAACGGCAGGTCTATAACATCATTTTGTAGAAACCCCAGATTCTAGATTATTACCCATAACTCCCCAAAGCAGGGAAGTCAGTCTTTCAGTGGGCCCTGAGGCCCAAATTACCACCTTTTCCCTAGCAGAAGCCAGAGAAGACCTGGGAAAGATGAAGAATTATGAGAGCACAGGGTCAGGCGGAGAACAATCTGAGCTGAGCTGCCTCATGTTGATGAGCTGTTTAGGGAAACAACATGCAGTTGGATACAGTCACGTGCCCCTGGGGGAACATGCTGCAGGGGAGCCTGCCTGCCAGGGCCCTATAATGGACACATTTGAAGTCCTAGCTTCTCAAACATGGGAGCCGCCCTTGGAGAACTCCCTGGACCCACCATCCACTGTCACAAAATGGAAACATAAAACATCTTTTTTTTTTTCCTTAAAAAAAAAAAAAAAAAAAGTTTTAAAAAATGCCCAGCACTGAAATAAAATGAAAACTTGGTCCCATTTCCATCTTGCTTGTGAATATCGATTGCTGGGAAATTAGTAAATGGAAAAAAAAAGAAAAGAAAAATAGAATTACTTTATTAATCTTAGAAATCAGTATTCCAAAGGAGGCCTTGACCCTGGCTCACGTGGTCAGCGGCCCAGTGACTTCCCTCCACTTTCTATGGAGTCTGTCCTTGAGATAGAGCCTCCTCACTCCCCAGACCCAGAGATGAAGAACGCTGGTGGGTAACGATGTTGGGGTAGAGAGCAGAGCTCACTACTGCAATCTGGAAAAGAATAGGAAGCAAAATGCAAATAGCCAAAGAGCCTCTTTTATATCATCTCTGTGCGGAGCAGGAGAGGGACTGAGAGATCTAAGCGGGATTGGGGAGGGAGGGAGGAACGAAAGGGAGGAAAGATACACATGGGCTCTCGCAGGGCAGCAGCAGGTGAATGTCACCATCGGCAAGTTACATCAGAACCCAGCTGATCTGTTTTTATGTCGTCCCAAAAAAAGTCAGGATTGGCTGATTGGCAACAATCTACTACCACTTCTCTTTGAAGGCTGTGGGGACTCGGAGGCAGCAAAAAAAATACTATGGTGCCCTTGTAGCGCTGGCAGATGCTTCGTGTTCAGTCGCACCCAAGAGCAGGGAACGTCGGTCCTTCTCTGTGTGTGATTCATCTTTTAGAGGGAGCAGGATCTGAAAAGACAAAGTCATGCACTAAGTGACTGAAATGAGAGCATGGGGCTTGACTTGCATACAGCAATGTCTAGTTTATTTAAAAATTTAAGCCAAACTCACTGCCATCGAGTTGATCCGACTCATAGTGACCGCTCCATGGGTCTCCGAGGCGGTATCACTACAGAAGTAGATTGCCCAACCTTCCTTCCGAGGAGTGCCTGGTGGGTTTGAACCGCCAGCCTTTTGGTTAGCCGTCAAATGCCTTAGGCACTATGCCACCAGGGCTAGCATCATGGAAAAATGAAGAAGTTGTGGCCCAAATGAATGAAGTTCACCTTGAAGCACAAAACTTTTTAACTACTTTTGTTAGGAACCATTCTAAAGCAGGTCCCTCCCTTGCTGCTGCTGCCTTTTTAATGCCGTTCTCTTAGTTTCTTTTTCCTGGATGGAAACCATTTATCCCTGTGGATTTTTCAAAAGATGTTCATCTTTGCTAGAAACTCAGGGTCAGCATTGTTGGCATTCATTATTGAACTGCATGGGAACAATGGTTCCATGTATTATTTTTTTTTCAAATCTTCCCACAACGTCAGGTTGTCAGATAGTACTTTGCCTTCTACCAACTGCCCCTAAATATATACCTACATGCCCACCACTCAGTTTAAGAAAAAGAACATTGTCATTAAACTTGAATCCTCTGGGAGACTCTCCTATTGATTCCTTTTATCCTCAATTTTTTGTTTATCCTTCAGTTTGTGTTTTAAAAACACATTTGCTTCTTACGTATGTTTACATCCCTAAATAATCCATTGGTTGGTTTCCTGTGGTTTTGAACTTCATAGCACTGCTGTTCTTGTCCATGTGCTCAGGACACCACTGGAGGAGTTTTCTAGGTATACGATTAGGAGTGGATCTGCAGGTCACAGATACGTCCTACATAATGTAAGATTACCTTCATTAGTAATGAAAGTACTGAATGAGTGGTGACAGAGTGGTGAAAGTAATGAAAGTGTGGTGATGCCATTCACACTCCCTGTGGCAGTGGGTGAGCCTCCCCCACTTCTCCACATTTTCAGATACTGCCTGAATTTGAACATTTTGCCAATCAAGTGAGCATACAAGCAGTATTCCACTGTGGTTTTAATGAAGAGTTCCCCTGATTAGGAATGAGGTTGAGTATCTTTTCAAATCTCCATCAAGCATACATCCTCTTCTGTAAGACACAGGACATGTCTTTTGCCTATTTTGCTAAGTTGATATTTATTGATTAACAGTTTTATTGAAATGTAATCCACATACCATACAACCACCCATTAAAAGTGTTAAATTCATCGGCTTATGCCATAGAGTTATGCATCCATCACCACAATCAATTTTAGAACATTTTCATTATTTAAAAAGAAACTCTGAACCTCTTAGCCATCACCACCAACCTGCTCAATCCCTTAAGCCTTGGTAACCACTAATCTACCTT